ACTTCTTGTCTTTGTTGCCCCCCCTTTTGGGTAGCCTATGTCCAAGTTGCCCATTCCTGCCTATTCTGTGTGTGGAGGGGGTGGGAATAATCCTTACTGTAAAGATTTGTTCCCTCTTTTGAGCTACTGCATCCATAGGTGTAGGTCAAGTTCATCAAATTGTATCAGATTACTCTTTTTTTCCTCTTTTTCTTCTTCTAGTTGAGCTCTGATCATCCAGTCATTGAAGCCAGGTCAAGTGGGTATTATCTACAAGTGTGGGTGTTCTTATGCATATGCCCTCTCTTCTTATCAGCTGGATGCTTCACTCTCCACTCTAGTCCTCTGTGGCTAGGGTCACCTCTCTTTAGAATGAGCACAACTGGAATCGCTTCCAATCAGTTGGCGAAGTAACTGTCTTCCAAATTTCTTGGCATAGATGATCGAGTGCCTCCTGTGCTGCATCAATTTGTATTCCATCAATTCCCAGAGGCTTGTTCTTTGCCAATGCCTTCAGTGCAGCTTGTATTTCTTCCTTCAGTATGCTTGGCTCTTGATCATGTGTTACCTCTTGAAATAGTTGATCACAACCATATCTTTTTTATACACGGACTTTATATATTCCTTCCTTCTTCTTTTAATGTTTTCTGCATCATTCAATATTTTACCCATACAATCCTTCAATATTTCAAATTGAGGCTTGAAGTTTTTCTTCAGTTTTTTCAGCTTGAGAAATGCTGAGTGTGTTCTTAACTTTTGGTTTTCTAATTCCAGGTCTTTGCACATTTCGTCATAATGCTTGACTTTGTCTTCTTGAGCTTCTGGATTCAGATGCCAATACCTTCAGTGCAGCTTGGACTTCTTCCTTCAGTATCATTGGTTCTTCATAATATGCTACCTCTTGAAATGTTTGAAAATTGACCATTTATTTTTTTATAATGACTCTGTGTATTCTTTTTCTGCATCATTCAATATTTTGCCCAAAGAATCCTTCAGTATTTCAAGTCAAATCTTGAATTTTTTTCCTCAGTTCTTTCAGCTGGAAAATGTTGAGCATGCTCTCCTTTTCTGTTTTCTAACTCCAGGTCTTTGCACATTTTATTATAATACTTGACTTTGTCATCTCAAGCTGACCTTTGAAATTTTCAAGTCAACCCTTTTACTTCCTCATTTGTTTCATTTGCTTTATCATCTTGATGCTGGAGAGCAAGTTTCAGAGTCTTTTTTGACAACCATTTTGGTCTTTTCTGTCTGGTCTTTTTAATGACCTTTTGCTTTCTTCTTGTATGGTATTCTTGATGTCATCCCACAACTCTTCTGGTCTTTGGTCATTAGTGTCTAATACATCAAGTCTGTTCTTGAGATGGTCTCTAAATTCAAGTGGGATATGTTCAAGGTCATATTTTGGCTCTTGTTGAGTTGATTTAATTTTCCTTAGCTTCAGCTTGAACTTGCATAGGTACAACTGATGATCTGTTTCACAGTTAGTACCTGGAATTTTAGGGCTAATGGTTTTGAGCTTCTCCACAATCTCTTCCCACCGATGTAGACAATTTGATTCCTGTGTATTCCATCTAATGAGGTCCATGTATATAGTTGTCTTTTATGTTGTTTAAAAACCATATTTGAAATGAGTAAGTCGCTGGTCTTGCAAAATTCTATCGTGAGATCTCCAGCATTATTTCTATTACCAAGGCCACATTTTCCAACTACTGATCCTTCCTCTTCCAATCTTCACATTCCAATCACCAGTAATTATCAATACTTTTTTTTTTTTGAGATCCAATCAAAGCTTTATTAGCAGAAAAAGCCAGCAGTCTGGAGGATGGATAGCATAATTTCTCAAGACCGTCCTTTCACAAAGAGCAAGCACATTATATAGGGTAAGTTACATTTGGATGTATACTTGTTGATTTAGGGTCAAGACCATAGCAAGCATTACAAAAGGGGTAGGGTCACATGCTCAGCTGGACTGAACAAATGTGGATCAATACGGAAGTCATTGAGGGGAGCCCTAACGATGAGGTCTATCAGTCAGGTCCTGTCTCTGAGGTGGGAAAGTGGTGAGTCTTCCAAATGTATAGGGCCTCTCCTTCCCCCACCCTGCCCCAGTAAATCTAGTAGGATGTAGAAGGCCTTAGTTTCACAAAGTTCAACTATCCTGCTGAGCTGTGTTACAAAAGTACAATGCCAATAAGGCAGGAGGTAAAGGGTTATTCAACATACAATCCCTCTTCAAACAGAAATCAGACATATTCATTACATTATTGCCAAACTGAAACTAGAGTTTACTGCCTGTCACTGTAGTCAATCACAGAGATGGGGTGAGATCCCATTCAAGCTTTATAAACAGAAAGCCAGCAGTCTGGAGGAGGGAAAGAATCATTTCTCAAGACCATCCTGTCCATTATGAAGAGTGGGCACATTATATAGGGTATGTCACATTTGGATATACACTTACTATAGTTTAATATCAAGATAGCATCTTTCGGGGGGTGGGGGGTGAAGAAAAATAATCAGGCAATGACCCTTCTCAAGAATTCCATCTTTCAGGAAAAAGGAACAATCAGGCAATGATCCTTCTCAAACATTCTACCTTTAGGGTCTCTGCTTAATTTCTGAGATAACTATCTGAGTGGGTTTAAGCATGTCCTATTCTCCTTGTCCTATCCTCCTTCTAGGACCACAAGGTCGTCCCAGCCTATATATAAACTTCCTCATTTGCAGGATCCTCACTTCAGACTCAATGACTAACCTGACTCCATTTATTTAGGTCAGTAGATCCATGCTATCATTTCCCACTGTTATTTTTAGATTTCATTTCTATGAAATTTGCTTCAAATGAAAACAGTTATTTTGATCCTGGGCATTGTTACTTGGATCAAAAGAACTAAGCTTAGGTTGTGAAAAACAGCAAGTTTTACAAAGGGTGATACAACAAGGTAAGCATTGAATACAGCAACATATAAAAATTCCTTTGACAATACAAACTCTGACACCCACTATTAATGTGCATAGCCACCCCAGATTAGGTAACCAAGATAACCAACTTTCGATATCTGCTCCAAAGGAGCCCTCTCTTTGCTGAATGTTAGAAATAATTCCTTTAACGTTTTTCAGTTTTTGTTCGATTAATTTAGAATTGTCTGAGAGATTAAAACAACATAGCCCTTTAAATTCCTCACATCCATGATTATGCCGTAAGAGCAAATAATCTATAGCAGCCATGTTTTCCAAAAGTGCTTCCCTGACCTGTTCTACACTTAGGGCATTGATTGCTTGGGAAGTTGTGTTTAGAGCTTTGACCATTGAATGGGCAAATTGACTGACTTCTACATTTAGGGCAGTTACCATGGCAGGCATGACAAACAGAGACAAAGCTATGTATTTTGTAGAGCTAAATAAATGCAGATCACTAGACAGTCAACAGATTAACTTCCCCGGTTACGGTTACTCAACTCTTTGTTTCTTTTAAATCCTGAATCTTAAGAAAAAAGGTGGTAAGTCATCCAAGGGAACAGGATCCCTTTGAGACACTGATGGGAACATTGAAAAAAAAAACAACTGATGCCCGCAGGAAGAACCACCCAGAAGGTAGTTTAACATGTCCGTGAGCATCGGACACTGTCTCTACCTCTGTACAGTTCGGAATGGTGTTTCTTAAGGATTTGCAATCAGCTGTACATCCAGAGAACTGCACACAATGGGCACTAGGGGTACCTGTTCTAAGCTGAATAGAGAACTTGTCTCTCTCTTCTCATTACCACCAGACCCCAATTATAGATGTTATCATAAGTGATATTCTTTTAAATATATAGAAAAAGGGCGAAATTTTGAATTAACTCTAAAGGCGTACATATCCCTACTAAACATGAGGTAAGGGTCTATTCTATGTAAGTGCACCCTGAAAGACAAAAATCAGAGACTTTCATTACACTCCAACCTAAATAGACCCATTGAAAGGAAATAATGTCTTGCCAGAGTCCCATTGTAACCAGCAGGAGATACATTATTTTAAGGGACGTCTTCTTATCTTTAGTTGGGTTTCACCAGTTGCTTCTTATGTCCAGGTGGTCCTATCAACTGACGGGTAAGACGTGATTCTGGTATAGTGTATCTAGGCTTTGAGTCTTGCTAACTTGATGGGGTGACTAGTAAGATTTCCCAGGGTCCAGTCCACTTTTCTTCTAACTCCATGTTCTGAGAACATGATCTCCAGACTGGAAGGGTTCAGGTTATCTTTAGGGGGGGAAGCAGGCCTGGGACAAGCAGCAGGAAGACGACCTGATAGGGACCGTGATGAGCTGGCCAGAGTGAATTTCTCAGCCTCTTTCCTGAGAGGATATTGGTTTCTGTGGGATGGTTAGCTTCTAGGCTTCAATGAGACCTCAGTGGAGGATGCTTATTGGCTCTCCCAGAGTTCTGCTAGCCCACACGAGGGGTTTATATGATTATCGATCTCCTCAGGCTAGTGTGACTGGTTTCCTGAGTTTGAATCAGTAATTACCAGGCATGTTCATGAGGAACCTCCATCTGCAGACTTTTGATTTCAAGAAGAAAAGTTCTTTGAACATGCAACTTTAGAAGCAGGTCCTGGCCCAGTAAGGGGACTGGGGCAGTCATTGTTTTTCAGTAGTCTAGGAGTTTCAGGAAGAACTGGTCCTCAAGCCTCCCTGAGATCTCAGTCACCATCACTGAATGGAGCGATGGGAAATTCAGAGGCATACTGACCACTGAATAAATGGCACCAGTGTCCAACAAAAATCCAGTCTGTTCCCCATTGTTATTTTTAGCTGAGGTTCCTGGGGGGTAGTGGTGGTGGTGGTGGCAGCAATAGGGGTGGCAGAGTATGACACCAAATCATGCTGCACCCCCAAGCCCCCTAGTCACTATCGGTCTTCTGCAGACAATGAAGCCTCTTCAACCATCTGTTGAGTTGGAGGATGGCATTTTCTGTTAGATCCTCCCCTGAGATTTGGGCACTCATTTAAGGGGTCCTCCCTGGGGCCCCACAGGCTTACCTCTAGTGGTCTTTAGGAAGACAGTAACGGCCTGAGATTTCTTGTGCTCTTGGCTGTTAAATACCTCAAAGGTGATATCCACCAGCTGGGATACATTCAAGCCAATTGCCCTGTCGAATTTCTGCAATTTCTTTTTAATATCCGAGGCACTGTGGGAGATAAAAGTCATGTTAACCATTCGGATATTTGCTGAGTTCTCAGGATCAAGGTCTGTGTACTTACAGTAAGCGTTCTCAGTTGGCGTCTACTGAACTGCCTGTACCATGTTCAAGCTCTTTTGTTTAGAAACTCCCTTCTTCAGACCTCTGAGAATGTACCTTTTATAGTGCTCCAACCACAGTAGGCACATTTAGATTTCAATTTGTGTCAGCTGGAGGAATTACCTTGACTGGGACAAAGGTCCTGTTCAGGTTTTTCTCCATGGATGCGTGCGGCTTCATCCAATGCCTTATCTCAGACCAGCTTTCTCTCATTGCTGGTCAGGAGCATGGCCAACAGGAGCCTGAATATTTGCCCAATTAGGATGATAGGTAGCAAAAATGTTGTTGTTATTGTTGTTATTAAGTACCGTCGAGTCGATTCCGACCCATAGCTGCCCTGTATAGGGTTTGCAAGGAGTAGCTGGTGAGCTTGAACCACCGACCTTGCAGTTCAAATGACTTTGCAGTCTGACGCATTACGCCGCAGTGCCACACCAGGGTAGCAAAAAGTGTGGTTATTTAATTTGTCATTTTGGTTGAGTCATCCTGGTGTGGCACTGTGGGTCAATGCGCTGGACCACAAAGTAGATCCGAACTGCAAGGTCAGCTATTCAAGCTTATCAGTCGCTCGTCGGAAGCCCCACACAGGGTCGCCACAAGCCAGAACTAACCCGACAGCATTTAACAACATCTCAATAGGAAGGATTTAATTTTTCCTATTTAACATGTCCAAGGTAGAGAGAGAAACGAGATTGCCCTTCTGTATTCAATCCTATGGGCATCTGCGGAGAGGGTATTGCCCTGCCTTTGTTCCGGGTATCCCTCAACCAAAATGTGTCCCTTGAAGGATGTGGTATAGAGAAATCACTTCCAAACTGCTTCCCTCAGCAGCTGAATATGGCAGGGCAGGTTCACTAGGTCAGGCTATACTTTTCCCTACTAGCAGCTGCTGTGCATCAGAAGGCATAGTAAGATAATTCTACAATCAAAAGCTATATTTCACTAAAAAGCAACCATTCATCTCTTTGTATATTCACATCTAGGCCTGCTTAGTACTCTGTTTTCACCTAACACTCATCTGTATTCATTTTCCCTCTGCATGGCTTTCATATTGGCAGTATAAATGCACTATAATACATATACATGATATAGTTTACATACTATTGGAATTCCAGGTTTTCAGTTTCTTAAACATAAATACAGTACAAAAACAAAAACAAAAGTAATTTTACAATAGACAATCTAACACAGAGGTTGAATAATGGTATAATGTAAGATGGTATAATAATAAGGATCCATTCAAAGATTATATCCTTCCCCCCGCCTCCGCCCCATAATCTAGATTGTACATTGGCCAAACTGTATTACAGTAGAACACCATTTCCTTTTATGTCATAGGAGGGCACCCATACAGAAACCAGTCAGACAGAATTACGCCTACAGGGCTTTGCTTTGGGATTGAGGCCTGTGCTCCCATTTTTCAGATATAGAGGTTAACCTTAACAGAAACAGAAACAGAAGGGACACTTACCGTGCCTCTATGTGCACACCCAGAATAAAGCAAGGGGATCTCAAAAGTGAAGGCAATGGTGATTGCAGGAGACACAGGATTGAAGACCTGCTAGGAAAGTTCAGTTGCTGTGCTCCTGGGCTCACCAGTCCAGGCAGCCAACAGGCCTCCCAATGCTACTTACTGGGGAATCCTGCAAGGTCCCTAAGCGTGGTCGCCAGAAATATTTCCAAACTGAAAGTCGGCAGTATGGATGGAGAGAATCATTTCTCAAGACTATCCTCAACTATCAATACATCTTGATTGCATGTTTGATCAATTTCAGACTGAAGAAGTTGGTAGAATTCTTCAAATTTTCATCATCACTTGCTTTAGTGGTAGGTGCATAAATTTGAATAATAATGGTATTAACTGGTCTTCTTTGTAGGCGTATGAATATTATCCTATCACAAATAGTGTTGTTCTTCAAGATAAATCTTTAAATGTTCTTTTTAAGGATGAATATGACTCCATTCCTCTTAAATTTGCCATTCCCAGCATAGTAAATCATGATTGTTAGATTCAAAATGGCCAATGCCAGTCTATTTTAGCTCATTAATGCCTAGGATATCAATCTTATACATTTCATTTTTGAAGAACTTTCCACTTTTTTCTAGATTTATACTTCATACATTCCATGTTCCAATTATTAATGAATGTTTGCTGAGGATTCTCCTCATTTTGAGTTGTTACCCGTAAGCAAATAAAGGTCACAAAAGTTTTACTCCACTCTCCTCATCACAGTCAACTCTACATTGAGGGGGCAGCTCTCTCCAGTTTCATTCTGTGTGCCTTCCAACCTGGTGCAGAGAAGGAAGGGCTCATCTTCCAGCACTATCTCTGGCAACATTCTGATGCTATTCACAGTGTTTTCATCTTCCAGCACTTTATCTGACAATGTTCCACTGTTTGTTATTCATAAGGTTTTCAGTGGCTAACCATTCATTGTTGTTGGAGCTCTGGTAGCGCAGTGGTTACGAATCGGTCTGCTATACTCAGGGTCAGCAGTTCGAAACTACCAGCTGCTCCGTGGGAGAAAGATGAGGCTTTCTGCTCCCGTAAAGATTTACAGCCTTGGAAACCC